AGTGGAATGTTTTTTGAACTTATTATATACCATTCCATAGAACGTTTCAAGCAGATCAAGAATACGTAGTTTTTAATTTGAGACTTTCTTTTCGTGTCAAAAAATCGAAAAAACGACGATGTTCGAAAAAGCTAGATTTTTCAACTTCGGTTTTCAGTCAGAACATTCAAACTGTTTTTTTCTTATTCATCGATAAAAGGTGAATTAAACACGATAAGCTAAACTCCTGTCCATCATGGATGTTAGAATGAACCATTGGAAAAGAAGGATGAGTCATTTTGTAAACTGTCATCTATACGACAGGGAATGCAGTTAGCAATCAAATTCGTTTGTCGATTAATATTAATTAGTTCCCGCAAATTTTTCACATTTCATACAAAACTGAAAATTAACTAAAAGTTTCGGAATACACATCAGTCGACTTAGTTTTTTTATCCTGATTTCGAATATGCTATTTGTATTGCTCAAAAGTTGAGTTCTGATAGAGAAAATTGAGCATTACGGTATATCTCATTCTTCTTCACACAATAGGCATACAAGTTCTCTGTTATAGGACAAAATGTAAGAAAAAATAACTGTCTGGCTTTCTGTTCGGGCGAAGGTGGTGGGTTGACATATCACTGTCCTTAGTTTCAAATAATTTTCTCATACTATCAAAATTTGATGATTTTTCTCTAGAGAAAGTGAAGTTTTGAAAGTTAGATATCGTGAACGTGTGTTATTAGTTACATTTAGTTTACATATTCTGTATATAATATTTTGTGATTTGTATATGTTACACCATCTGAATACATTTTTCTCTATTTTGCTATAAATAATTCGTACAGGAAAATATACAACAATGTATACAAACTACGCATAAAAAATAATTTATTCCATCCCAGAAATCCCAGAATAAAACGAAGGACTTTCGGGAAAAATATTAATTTTATTCTCTTTGATCATACAATTCTTAATTATGATTATTTTTTCTTATATGAACACACAACACGTTTTCGCTTTAATGTATAAAAGTTAAAGGAAAAGACTGAATTATCGAATTGTGTAAATTTATTAAACTTTATTTCTCTTTGTAGACAAGAACAAATTTTCTATTTAATCCATATATTCCTTTATTACATGTCCAAAGAACTGATATTCTACCAACTTCTTAGATTAAAATTAAATTAACTAGAGAGGGTCCATTTCTACTTCTTATACTAGTTTGAAGTATACAAGTTGTACTATATACCCATCTATTTTCTAGAAAAGACCCCTTTTAGTTTTTGAGATATGTCGCTCTCAATATCGGTGATTAACATTTAATAAATCATACTTTCTTCTTTTGTATTCAGCAGCTAGAAAAAACTGTTTTTGACTACCATGACTTTCCGGCTTTCTCTTCGGATCACCATTGTCAGAGATAATGTATGTTCAGATGTGAAAATGAAGCTAGATACTATAAATTTTGTCAATTTTAAGTGCGATATTGACAGTCTAATATTTTAAAAACTAAGAACGATATTTTTCTGAAAAAGAGATCAATATATAGGAGAACTCGTACACTTCAAATAAGCACAAAAAGTGAAAATGGGTACTCTCTAATTATTTTAATTTTAATTCGTGATGTTGGCAGAGTATGGACTAAATTTATAGTGAGCACCGCTTCTTTTTAAAATGGAATAAATGATGTCTCAATAAAAATAACCTCTTCATAAGAAGAAAATAAAACCTTTTCCTTTTCTTACTCATGTCGTTCTATTATATGCAATGTATGAATAAAGTAGAATGAACAAGTGTGAGATGGAAGAGAAAAAAGTTCTGTAACTTTTGATTTGTGCATATTTTATACTGTTTTTATAAGTTACATATTCCTTTCTGTTTATCTGTACTGATAAATTTTCAACGTTGTCGTCAGAAAGTCGTCGTATATGCATGTTCTATGCTTCATTTGATTCTGTCTTCGTATCTTGGCATGTAACACATATTCAAATTCAATATGTTATCGAAACGAAAAGAAAAAAGTAATAGTAAATTTCTGTACGCTTTTGAAAATATTCTCTTTGAAAACAAAAGCTGCAGTCGAGCTTTTAGCTTTTTCGACATTATAAAACCACATTTTGAAAAAAAAATTATACTATCTGATAGCACTCGGAGATCTCTATCACCCTGCATATTAATGTTTTGTCTTTCATTTATATGCTGAAAAATAAATTGAGTGCAATGACGGTCCTCATTGTCAGATTCCCAGAAATTGTAACGGGTGCGACCTCTCAGTATTTTCTATTTTTCTCTCGTTCCTTAGGACCCAAAGGTTAATGTTTTTTTTAAAAGATACGCCGCGAAATGCTCTACAAAACCATACCTAAACTTTAATTTTAGAGCTTCATTCAAGAAAACTACACAGATTATATTAAAGACGAAAAAAATGAAAACTTTAAAAATCTGTTATTTTTTTCTACTAGAACCTTTTTCTTTCGCTATTATTTCCGTAGAAAAAGGATTGTGAAGGTGAGAAGCCAGTTCTTTTTGTACTTCTGAATGTGCTCTTTCTCGGGATCTGTAAAAAAATCTTTTAGAACAGATGGTGTTGAAAAAGTAGCGAAAAAATGCAGCTTTTTGGTACTTGTTAATTGGAGGTACCTTCTGTACTGAAATTATTTTTCAGCAGATAAATGCAAGACAAAACATGAATATATGGGATGATAGAAAATTTCAAGCACTATCAGAATATATAATTATTTTCTTAAAAAGCTATATCCAAAGTAAAGATAAATTTAAAATACCAATTTTCAATCGTTGGGAGTCCGACAAAGAAGTTGCCTTCATTTCACTCGATTTCTCTTCCAATGAACAAGAGCAAGGCAAAATCTGAATATGCAGGTTGATAGAAAACTCCAAATACTATCACATAGTATAATTATTTTTTCCAACATGTGATTTTATAATGTCGAAAAAGCTAAAAAATCGACTGGAGGTTTTGTTTTCCAGTGGATATATGTACATGCCTGTTCCAAAAGCATATTGACAAAAAAAATCTTACATATCGTAACAAGATCTTATGTAGGATTTTCTTTATACTTATATGCTAAGAATTATCATTATTTCGAAAAAATGAAAGAAGAGGATGTCGTATCTACAACACACCCTAATCTTCCAGAAAGAGACTGGTAAAAGCACTAATGCCACGCAAGGGAGAATTGAGTGTTTTGTTTGGTTCGAAAGAATGATTATCGACCAGTTTCACTTTTATTAAAACAAAAGTTCTTCAGGGTATCTCTTAATATGTGTATATGCTGATTTCAAAGACTACCAGTCCTATCAATAATTAGATCAATCAGAAATTTTTTTCTCCGTTAGTACATTTTTTACAGTTATTGAGTATTCTATAATTCTTGCAATATTATACCAACTCTCTTTCCTTTTTTTCATTATTATTTAGGCTCTGCTGAATTTTCTTTGACTTAATGAACCACGTATGATTGTAGGTGAACTACACATCATTTATAAAGTTATTTAAGCTCTTGAATAAACTTTTTTCATCGTCAGAAAATATCACAAGTTATAGAATGAACCATCTAACACACTTATATATGAGTCAATCGTATTTTTTTTGTACAAGAAGTTTTTTCGCGGGTTTTCCGCATTAACTTTGGTTGTGATGATCCGATTATCAAAACGTTTTCTCCTTTTGCCCGTCGTAGTGTCGCCCACTATCACGGAAAATTTCATCTTCGCATCTCAGCACCTGTCCAAGTTACACACAATGATAGTCGAAAAAACCAATTTTGTCTATGACTCAGCGTTAGAAAAATCGTTTTTTCTCAGCAAAGAAATAGAGAAAAATGAAAACAAAATAGCACGTTTTGTCGAGCTTTTGAACTCTCTATTCAACCATACGATTCACTTTTGCTTTTGTTTACTTCTTCCTTCCCGCGGATGTGCAAAACATTTTTACAAGCACATTTGAACTTTTTGAAGCGGTTTTAACTCTATTTTAGTGTAGTGTAGTAAAATGTTTAGTTCAATCAACGACATTTCAGACGGTTCTTTATATGAGTCGACCGTTAACAATGCCCTGCTGGCTGAAAAACTCTAAAAGATCTTGAGACATCGATGAAACTACCAGTTCATATAAAGCATCATACAATTTTGGGCGCATCTGATCTTCCGCTAAATACAATCTTGGACTTTAAACAGAGAGGGGGAGTACCTTTAAATATGAGGTGTAAATTACATTCCGATAAAGACAAACTACCTGTAACCTTAAATTCTTTTTTATATGTGCTTGGAAATCCTTCAGATTAGCATATCAGATAAGTGCAGGCCTAAAGCTTACTTTCGTGTCCATAGAAAATAATATTTTAGTGCACAAGGCGTTCGGACGATAGTTATGAAAATAGCGCTTACATGACGAGCAGCAACATCATCACTGCCACTTCTGAAGTGAAAGAAAAACAGAAATACGATAAACAATAAGAGCTCTCTATCTAAAGTTGAATTATAAGAAGTATACTCACATCAATAAGTCCAAACTAAGATAAAATAAATTCATTAAAAGTATCCTGAATGAGAGTCGAAAATATTATTTATCTTTCTAATTCATTTACATTTACTTTTTGATTTTCTTCTTCTATATTGTGGATAGAAATGAAGAAAAGTCAGTTCTTTTATTTATCATTTTATAAACAGAAGAGAACAATTATTCAAGACCATTACGTAATACTTTGAAAACAAGAGAAAGACACAAAGAGAAACATTCATTCTCTTCCTACGACAAAACAATATAACAGGTGTTAGCTTAAAGAGAAATTTATTTCATATAATTCTCCATTCTCCTTTTCACTCTGATACGGATAAGACGTGTCTCTTTCTTTCCTTATACATATTATACATTGACTTTTTTGTCACGTTTTTCTGTTTGTTTTCTCGTTCTTTATCGTAAAGAGTTAAAACGTGACTAGCTTAATTTCCAAGAATTTAACGGAGATGGCCGCCCACAAGGCTATAGTACGTCTACAATGTATTCCAATGCCTCTGGTACTTTGTACCCTCAACATGGCGAACCTCTCGCTGGACAAGTAACGCAGAATTCGACTCTAAGTAATGGTTACTATCCATGTGAACAGCCGGCGTCAAATCAAAAGTTTGTTTCCTCACAACAACTGCAACAGCATCATCAGCAGTATCAGCATTACCCGATACCTCCATCAATGGTGGCTCAAAATCACTTGATTTCATCGTGTTTTGTTCCCCATCCCCAACATCAAATTTTGCCAAATAATAGCTGTCAGGGTCAACATCCATCTCCATCGAATATACCTTATACGATGTCGAATAATCAAATATATGGTCAATCGTTGCAACTTATAAATAATCAACAATCTGGGTCGAGTCAAAATCCACAGGAAGTATCACAGCAGTGGAGCTTGCCTGGTGATTCTTTAGCCTGTCTTCAAGCGACAACCTCGCCTTTAATGAATATGGATTATGATGACGGCTTCATCGAAGTCAATCATAAAAAAAAGAAAACAAAGATTGTACACAATGAGAATCATCAAAATCAAAATCAAAATCATATTGTTAAAGTAAATCCCTTTCTATTAGATGTATACATCGGTCGAAACGTTTTATTCCTCATATCTCGGCAATCCAAAAATGTCTGTTTTTTTTTGGTTATAGTGAAGACTATTCTATTCCTGATCTATCTGATGAGTATTTATATCTACTTTCGTCTTTCCCAGAGTCGTTTTTATAATGTCTCTATATATTGTATAACTCTTCCGTTTCCGTATATTTGTATCATTTGAAAGGAGTCTTTGAATTTTCGTTATCCACTAAAACTCATTTGTGATGTATTAATAGGCCTAGCTAGGCATTAATTCTAATAAAAACGCATAAACTTAAAGAGAAATTTATTTAAATTCACTTTTTTAAACTTCTTGTAGAAAAATCTGTTTAAATTAATTTTTAACCCTCATTTCACCACCTGGGATCCGAGCGGACTCCAGATCGAATATTATGCTTCTCTTTCCTCAACAGTAATAGATCAACCTCTCATCTTCTAGACATGCACTAACGAAAGTCAGACGGATATATCGATTATATTATTGCCTTCGATTCTGACATCGTCAATATGATAAAAGAGCTAGAAGTACGCACCAACGTGTTTTCACCATTTGGAGTCCACTCGGACCCCAGAGAGTAGAACTAATTACACATTTTTATTGTTAAGATATCGTTTCAATTCAGTATTTCATGCATTCGGCCAGCTCTAGAGAATATGCTAGAAGGTTCTATCTTATGTTATAAGTTTCTGAAATTGAATTGAACTTGACCTTTGTGTCACTCATTATATTAGAATGTTTTGGAATATTTCCCATCATTATGGAATGTATAGTTGAACTATATAAGGGCAGTTGAAATTGCCGAATAATTTTCAATTTGAATCCAAACTGGTCTTACATATTTTCACTCAACATAACAGTTCTCAATATAATCCTTATTGCATTGAACAAGTTGAGAATTCGAGCAATGGGTTCAAAGAGAAGCTTTAATGATTATTACGACGAAAGCTCAGATGAAGATCGTTCAGTTCTCGACGATAATTCTGGCAATGATAACACATGAAGAAAATTCAGAACTGCCGGACGGACTGGAAGACGGCTCGGAGGACTCTGAAACCGGTAAAACGGATGAAGATGATTGGCAAGAAGAAACCGATGTCAGTCCGGTGGAAAGCGAAAGTGATCAAGAACCGCCAAGACGTCTTTCGAAGCTCGATCAACGATCAGAGTCGGAAGTATTTTTGTCAAAATCTGGTCGACGGTGGAGTACATCCGAACCTCCGAAACGAAAAATACCACAAGCAAATATTCTGCGACAGTTACATGGTGTTGGACCCTCAGCAGCAAGGATGCAAACAGTGAAAGATGCTTTTCAACTCTTATTTACAGAAGAAATGATACTTATCATCGTCGCAGAAACTAATAGAAGCGCAAGGAAGGCTGCTGAAGCATGGAATGAACAGAATCCTGACAAGAAATGGCAATGGAAGGATACTGATAGTGAGGAAATTTGGGTATTTATTGGATTATTGATTCTTGCGGGCGTTCAAAGATCTCAAAACGAGAATCTCAACGAATTATGGTCCATGAATAGTGGCCGATCAATATTTCGAGCGACAATGTCAAAGAATCGCATGGATAGTCTACTAAAATTCTGCCGATTCGACGATGCAACTATACGAAATACACGAATGGAAGTAGACAAGCTGGCTCTAATTAGTGAATTTTGGGCAATGTTTTCAGCACGACTACAGATATGCTACATTCCAGGTGGTTCAATGACAGTCGATGAATAACTTATAACTACTCGTGGCCGTTGTAGATTTCGTCAGTACATGCGCAATAAGCCTGCGAAATATGGAATAAAG